GGTGCCACATTTCAAGGGGAATGCTTCCAGTTTTTGCCCATTCAGTATGATATTGGCTGTTGGTTTGTCATAAATAGCTTTTATTATTTTGAAATACATTCCATCAATACCTAGCTTATTGAGGGTTTTTAGCATAAAGGGCTGTTGAATTTTGTCAAAGGCCTTCTCTGCATCAGTTGAGATAATCATGTGGATTTTGTCTTTGGTTCTGTTTATATGGTGAATTACGTTTATAGACTTGCGTATGTTGAACCAGCCTTGCATCCCCAGGATGAAGCCTGCTTGGTCATGGTGGATAAGCTTTTTGATGTGCTGTTGCAATCGGCTTGTCAGTATTTTATTGAAGAGTTTTGCATCTATGTTCATCATGGATATTGGCCTGAAGTTTTATTTTCTTGTTGAGTCTCTGCCAGGTTTTGGAATCAGGATGATGTTGGTCTCATAAAATGATTTGGGAAGAGTTCCCTCTTTTTGTAATGTTTGGAATAGTTTCAGAAGGAATGGTACCAGCTTCTCTTTGTATGTCTGGTAGAATTCGGCTGTGAACCTCTCTGGATCTGGGCTTTTTTTGGGTGGTAAGCTCTTAATTGCTGCCTCAACTTCAGACATTGTTATGGGTCTGTTCAGGGTTTCGGCTTCTTCTTGGTTTAGACTTGGGAGGAGGCAAGTGTCCAGGAATTTATCCATTTCTTCCAGGTTTACTAGTTGATGTGCATAGAGTTGTTTGTAATAATCTCTGATGATGGTTTGAATTTCTTTGGAATCTGTGGTGATATCCCCTTTATCGTTTTTTTATTGCATCAATTTGGTTATTCTCTCTTTTCTTTTTTACTAATCTGACTAGTGGTCTGTCTATTTTGTTGATCTTTTCTAAAAAACAGCTCTTGGATTTATGGATTTTTTTGAAGGGTTTTTTTGTATCTCTATCTCCTTCAGTTCTGCTCTGATCTTAGCTATTTCTTGTCTTCTGCTAGACTTTTGAGTTTTTTTGATCTTGCTCTTCTAGCTCTTTCAGTTTTGATGATAGGGTGTCAATTTTTGATCTCTCCTTGCTTCTCATGTGGGCACTTATTGCTATATATTTTCCTCTAGAGACTGCTTTAAATGTGTCCCAGAGATTCTGGTATGTTGTGTCTTCATTCTCATTGGTTTCGAAGAACATCTCTATTTCTGTCTTCATTTCATTGTTTATCCAGTCAACATTCAAGAGCAAGTTGTTCCGTTTCCATGAAGCTGTGCGGCTCTGGGTTAGTTTTTGAATTCTGAGTTCTAACTTGATTGGACTGTGGTCTGAGAGACTGTTTGTTATGATTTCCGTTCTTTTGCATTTGCTGAGGAGTGATTTACTCCCAATTATGTGGTCAATTATAGAGTAGGTTTGATGTGGTGCTGAGAAGAATGTATATTCTGTGGATTTGGGGTGGAGAGTTCTGTAAATGTCTATTAGGTTTGCTTGGTCCAGGTCTGAGTTCAAGCCCTGGATATCCTTGTTAGTTTTCTGTCTGGTTGATCTGCCTAATATTGACAATGTGGTGTTAAAGTCTCCCACTATAATTGTGTGGGAGTCTAAATCTCTTTGTAAGTCATTAAGAACTTGCCCTATGTATCTGGGTGCTCCTGTATTGGGTGCCTATATATTTAGGATCGTTAGTTCTTCTTGATGCATTGATCCTTTTACGATCATGTAATGTCCCTCTTTGTCTCTTTTGATCTTTGTTGCTTTAAAGTCTAATTTATCAGAGATGAGAATTGCAACTCCTGCTTTATTTTTTGCTCTCCATTTGCTTGGTAAATCTTCCTCCATCCCTTTATTTTGAGCCTTTGTGTATCCTTGCATGTGAGATGGGTTTCCTGGATACAGCATACTGATGGGTTTTGTCTTTTTATCCAATTTGCCAGTCTGTGTCTTTTGATTGGGGCATTTAGTCCATTTACATTTAGGGTTAATATTGTTATGTGTGAATTTGATACTGCCATTTTGGTGCTAGCTGGCTGTTTTGCCCATTAGTCGATGCAGATTCTTCATTGTGTTTGATTCTCTTTACCATTTGGCATGTTTTTGGAGTGGCTGGTACTGGTTGCTCCTTTATATGTGTAGAGCCTCTTTCAGGAGCTCTTGTAAAGCTGGCCTGGTGGTGATGAAATCTCTGAGTACTTGCATGTTCCCAAAGGATTTTATTTTTCCTTCTCTTACGAAGCTTAGTTTGGCTGGGGATTAGATTCTGGGTTGAAAGTTCTTTTCTTTAAGGATGTTGAATATTGGCCCCCACTCTCTTCTGGCTTGTAGGGTTTCTGCTGAGAGCTCTGCTGTGAGTCTGATGGGCTTCCCTTTATGGGTAACCCGACCTTTCTCTCTGGCTGCCCTTAGTACTTTCTCCTTCATTTCGACCCTGGTGAATCTGACGATTATGTGCCTTGGGGTTGCTCTTCTTGACGAATGTCTTTGTGGCGTTCTCTGTATTTCCTGGAGTTGAATGTTTGCCTGACTTGCTAGGTTGGGGAAGTTTTCCTGGATAATATCCTGAAGAGTATTTTCCAGCTTGGATTCATTCTCTTCGTCGCATTCAGGTACGCCTATCAAACGTAGATTAGGTCTTTTCACATAGTCCCACATTTCTTGGAGACTTTGTTCATTCCTTTTTACCCTTTTTTCTCCATTCTTGCCTTCCCGTTTTATTTCGTTGAGTTGATCTTCGACCTCTGTTATCCTTTCTTCTGCTTGGTCCATTCGGCTGTTGATACTTGTGCATGCTTCACAAAGTTCTCGTGTTGCGTTTTTGAGCTCCATCAATTCACTTATATTCCTTTCTATTTTGTCCATTCTTGTTAGCATGTCGTCCAATCTTTTTTCAAGGTTCTTAGTTTCTTTGCATTTGGTTAGAACATGTTCTTTAAGTTCACAGAAGTTTCTTACTACCCACCTTCTGAAGTCTGATTCTGTCATTTCATCACACTCGTTCTCCCTCCAACCTTGTTCCCTTGCTGGTGAGGAGTTGTGATTCCTTGTAGGAGGATAGGTGTTCTGGTTTTGGGTGTTTTCATCCTTTTTGCGCTGGTTTCTTCCCATCTTTAAGGATTTATCCACCTGTCGACTTTGTAGTTGCTGGCTTTCAGATTGGGTCTCAAATCTTTCAGATTGACGTTCTGTTTGTTGATGGTGAGGTTATTTCTGTTTCTTGGTTTTCCTTCTGACAGTCTGGCCCCTCTGCTGTAGGTCTGCTGAGGTCCACTCCAGGCCCTGCTTGCCTGGGGTTCATCTGCAGCAGCTGCTGAACAGTAAGGGTTGTTACCAGTTTTCTTCTTCTGCTATCTTTGTCCCGGAAGGATACCCACCAAGTGTCAATCTGATCTCTCCTTTATGAGGTGGCTCTTTGGATATATAGGGGTCAGGGACCTGGTTGAGGAGATGGTCTCTTCTTTATAGGAGCTCAAATGCCAAGCTGTGAGCTCTGTTGTTCTTTCAGAGTCTGCTGCAGCAGAACTCATAAATTGCTTTTTGTTCCTAGGTGCTCTGTCCCAGGGATTTAGGGCTTTATGAGTTTTGGTTATGCTGCTGTCTTCTCTTTTTTTTTTTTTTTTTTTTTCCTTTCAGAGCTGCCCTGCCCAGCAAGGAGGCAGCCTAGTTACTGTCTGCCTGTAGAGGCTTTGCTGAGCTGCTGTGGGCTCTGCCCAGCTGCCGAGTGAACTTCCCTGCACTCCTGTTTATATGGGTGTAGTTAGAACTTCCTCAGCAATGGTGGCCCGCCTCTGTTAAGGTGGAGCCTCTCTGCAGTGGCGCGTTGCCTTGTCAACGGAGGGCTGCCTCAGTATTGGCAGACTACCTCCCTAGAGACGGGCTGCCTCGGTAATGGCGGACGCCCCTCACCCCACAGAGCTGGACCGTCCCAGGTTCAGCTGCACTTACTGTGAAACTCTCAATCCAGAGTTTCTGATTGTTGTTCTTTTGTGGGGGTGGGACCAGCCAAGCCTGATCGTCTGGCTCCCTGCCTCAGAGCCTTTTTTTTTTTTTTTTTTAAAGTTGGTGTTCCAATCGCCTGTTGAAGAGGCACTGTGGTGTGTTTTTTCCCGTGCGACAACACTGTGCTGGCTCAAGCAGTGGCACTGAGATTCGTGGCGCTTTTTCTGCCCTGGAATCTACTGTCCTGGCTCCCTACTCAGTCCCCTTTTTAAATAGATGAATGGGCGACTTCCCGTGGCTCCATTCGCCAGCCAAAAGGGCACCCAGACCGGTGTATTTTGTACAGAGAACCGCTGCTCTGGAGCGCTGACAAAGCAGCCGCGCGGGGCAAAGCAGCCGCGCCAGCCGGCACAGCCGCGCTGGCGACCCGAGCTCCTCTGCCTGGGAATTGCCTGGTCTGTGGGCAATAAAAATGCGGCATCCACTCACCCTCTGTGCTTTCACTGGGAGCTGCAATCCTCAGCTGTTCCTAAACGGCCATCTTGGATCCTCCCTTGCAGATAGCATTTTTAAGTACAGTAAAATGTTAAATTTTTAAAGTATGCTAAAATATGACATTATTTCTAATCATTTATTATTGCTTTATAATCATTTTGCACCAAACAGGGTATTGAGCTTTATGATCTGTTGTATGTGTTACTTTTACTTTAATAAAAAATCCCTATTTCAAGATGTATAATACATGTTAAAATCATTTTTTTCACATTGGGAAACATTCAAAATAATGTATTTTGAGCACTAATGTGTGCTTAAGTGATCATAAAAAGGTTTAAAGCAACGGTAGTATTGCTGGAATCAGCTTACCAACTTTAGGGGCATATCATTCATTTTGATACAGGAGTCTCCTTGCCTCAACCCCAGTGTATTTATTTTTTTGAATTTCTGTTGCATGCCTTGATAATGTATAGGTACTGACAACACAAAAATGAATAAAACATGCTATCTGCCCTTAATTGTGCACAATCCAATGTTCTAGGGTTCATGTTTTGACAGATTGTTCACATATATGAAAATATTTTAGACCACTTCCCTAGTTATGCCTAGAAAAAGCCTAGAAAGCTCAAAAGCACTTAAATGTTTCCTTAATGTAGGATACAGAGCCTCATGATTAACTTCATTTTATCTATTTGTTTTCAGTGAAGTAATGAAAATGAAAAAGAGATATGAAGTGGGTTTGGAGAAATTGGATTCTGCTTCATCTCAAGTAGCAACAATGCAGTCTGAGTTGGAGGCACTACAACCTCAATTAAAAGTTGCCAGCAAAGAGGTTGATGAGATGATGATAATGATTGAGAAAGAGTCTATAGAAGTTGCCAAAACTGAAAAAATAGTGAAAGCTGATGAAGCAATAGCAAACGAACAAGCTATGGCTTCCAAAGCTATCAAAGATGAATGCGATGCTGACCTGGCAGGTGCCTTGCCAATATTGGAGTCAGCGCTGGCCGCCCTTGATACTCTTACTGCACAGGTAAGAGCTTTGTCACACACTTTCTAGCCCAAGAAAGAAATTAGCATTGTGTTCTAGTCTAGTTTGTCTCTCCAAATTAGCCTGCAAGATTAATGAAGTTGAAATGATTTTGAGATTGGCAAAAGAATTACCTAATTGGCCTGAAAAAGTAATTCATGTGCATGCAAAAACACCCTTGAAAAGGAAGAAAGCTGCCAGGTGGTGTTGTAACCTACCATAAAGCAACAGTTATTTCAAGAACTTTATACATCTTTGCACTACAGTAATCAATGGTAATCAATAAGACTCAAGATTATATTTTGATTCTAAGGGGTACCTTTTTCATATTTAGACAGTCTTGCCGTTGAAATACATCTTAGGATGTGATAAAGTATTGTGTTAATTTGCTCAGTGATTTTTTGGGGGGGATACATAAAATAATGTGTTTTATAATTATTTTACAATAGCATGTCTTAGATTTGGTGAAGTATACTAAAAGTTAAGATGTGAAAGGGGAATATTTTAATTTAGAAAGATAAAGAGATTTTTAAAACAGTGCAGAGAATTTTGGCTAAACTTTTGGGTGGGACTTGAGAGAAGAGTATAAGTGCAGTTCTGTGACTGTCACCATTTCTACCCAGTGAACAGGGTGAGTTTCTCTATGCTTAGTTCAAAAACAGGAGCCAATTACAATTACTGTAGAAACAAACTTGTCTTTTTAAAATAATTAACATGTTGTTATTTCAAGGATATTACAGTGGTAAAATCCATGAAGAGTCCTCCTGCTGGTGTCAAGCTTGTCATGGAAGCTATATGCATCTTGAAAGGAATCAAAGCGGACAAAATCCCTGACCCAACAGGTTCAGGGAAAAAAACCGAGGATTTCTGGGGCCCAGCTAAGAGACTTCTTGGTGACATGAGGTTTCTACAGTCACTTCATGAATATGACAAGGACAATATTCCTCCAGCTTATATGAATATCATAAGAAAAAATTATATTCCAAATCCAGATTTCGTGCCAGAAAAAATCAGAAATGCTTCTACAGCAGCCGAAGGTCTGTGCAAATGGGTCATAGCAATGGATTCCTATGATAAGTAAGTGCTGCTAAGAAGAAACCCAGCTGGTATATTTTATCTTCACTTTTGTCAGTTAAACAATATAAAACTTAGAAGTTATGTAAGTGAGAGGCTTTTTGGAAAATCCTATCTGAATCTGCTTTGTGTTTGCATATTTACTGGAGGCAAGGTTGTAACAACTAATACAATAATACAGTGGTTCTTTAATCTTTTGGACTCAGGAACCGTTTATACTCTTTAAAAGTATTGAAGACCCCAAAAAGATTTTATTCACCATATTAGAAATTTAAATGGAAAAATTTTTTCAATGTTTATTAATTCATTTTTAAAAGCAATAAAAATGTTATATGTTAATATGTGACTTTTTATTTTTTAGAATGTACATGTTCTTGTTTTAAAAAGAGAAAAAAATAATGATGAGAAGAGTGGTGTTTTATTATACCTTTATAAGTCTCTTTAGTGTGTGGTCTAATGTAAGATAGCCAGACACCAAAATCTGCTTCTTCTTTCTTTTGCAGTATGTTGTTTTGACTAAAGTATATTTTAAAAAGTCTGCCATTACGCAGATATTTAGTTGGACAAGGAAAGATCTCGTAAACTCCCTGAAGGGGCAAGTGTCTTCAGGAGCCCCAGGGGTCCTTGGACCACACTTTAAAAACTACTGGTGTAATATGTATTCTTGTGAAATGAGGAGCCTTTTTTGGTGATTATATGAGAACCAGTTATACCAAAAAAACAGAGTAATTATTATTTTTTCAAAAAAACAACTGGCACAGGTTATTTTTCAAACTCATATCCAATTTTAACCATTCTACATCTATAGTAGTGCTATATATGTTTCAGACCCTGATATATTAGTTAATGATAAATTTAATGTTTTTTAGATAGATAACATGACTGACTCCATTTTCCAGATACTAGGGAGAGAATTTAGATCCATCTTTTTTCCTGTTTAATTCCTTTTATTACCACGTACATATTTATAGGATAACTGTTTTTGGTTGAGGAGGTATTCTAGGATATTTTTAAAAGTAAAATGACAGAAACAAAAGATACCTCACTTTCTCCTCATCAAAACTAACTTTTAACCATTTAGGCTTCTACTAGCATTGTAATATTCTACATGAGTATCCTACTCTCCTTTTGGAAAGTTATCAAATTTCATACTGGCAAATTGTTTTTTGAGTAAAACAATTATGTGAAAATACTGTGTATTTGTCTATTTTAATGGCCATTTCTTGTGTTCAAGTTCAAGTTTGGTTGGTTCTTAGATAAAACATAGAATATAGAAATCAGTTTAGAGTTTTGCACAAAGAAGTATTTTGAGTCGTAGTAAGGATATTAGAAAAGTAAATTCCGTGGTAGAAAGGCTACTGGAATATTAAATGAATATTTAATTTTTCAATTTTACTTTTTGCAGAGTGGCAAAAATAGTAGCTCCCAAAAAGATAAAACTGGCTGCAGCTGAAGGGGAGCTTAAAATTGCCATGGACGGTCTTAGAAAGAAGCAGGCAGCCCTTAAGGAAGTTCAGGACAAGCTGGCAAGGCTTCAAGACACACTTGAATTAAATAAACAAAAGAAGGCTGACCTGGAAAATCAGGTATGTGCTGATATAGAAAAAGATGGACACATTCTCAGTTATCTTAACTAAGAATGATGTTTGTACTAGCATATAACACACCAGTCCTGTTTCCTTCTTGGTCAGGGATTGGCAAACTATCACCTGCAGGCCATATCTGCCCATCCCCTGTTTTCGTATGGCCCAAGAGCTAATAATGGTTTTGACATTTAAAATAATTACATATTAATGGCCACATAAGTATTTGCATAATACGTAACATCCTCAGTTTTGCTGCTTGGCTCACCAAGACTAAAATATTTACTCTCTAGCCCTTTCCAAAAAAAAAAAAAAAAAATGCCAGTCTCCCTGCCTTAGGTTAATAGAATATTGAGCTAGATTATTTAGTCATTTTTCACTTTGCAAGTAAGGAAATTAGAACCAGAATGTTAAGTGACCTTGGCTGTGTAACAATTAATGGCAGAGCTGAAATTGGAACTCAGTACTCAAAACCATACACTATCTACTAAAAATGTTTTCAAGACTAAAAATATTGCTCTAATTTAATTAGTGATTTCATTTGGAAAAATTAACTGCTAAAGTCTGATTATGGTCCAGAAGAAAAGTCAAAATGTTTTATAACAGTCAACCTTTATTGAATGCTTATTATGTACAAGGTCCTGTTGTTCTAAGAACATTACGTTATACCATTTATTCTCAAAACAACCTTTTGAGGGAAGTAATCATTTTGCAACATTTTGAAGAAACTAAAGAACAGAAAGATCAAACAGCTTGTTCATGGTCAACCCAGCTTCTGATCATTGAGTCTAAAACTGAACCCAGGCAACCTGATGCTAATAGCTGTACTCTTTCCAAGACACCAGACTGCTTCTTTCTATAGTATCTATCCTGTATTCTATATTTGCACAAATGTAAGATATTGTGCTAATCATCAGAAGCATAACCTATTATGGCGTGATTTTTGAATGATCAGTTTTAAATAATACAACCAGTGAATCGCTATGCAGTTGCTGTCTTGAGACATTTTTAAATTCTCCTCCATGTTTGAAAATTTTATTTTTATAATGTTAGAAACTTAACGGTAATGTAAAATGAACATATGCATACATGTGTATTTAAAATGTGCTTTTGGAGGTAAAATTTTAGCTAAAATATTTGTACTTAGTAGTTTCTGATGGCAACTTTGTCATAGTCCAAGACCTGATTCAGTTTATCATAAACATTGTTGAAAGAATAAGTGACGAAAGAAACTAGAAAGACAAAAGATATTTAAAGATGGAAAGTTAAAAGGGAAAAAAATTAAATTTAGGAAGTATCACAAATACTACAATTATATACCATTTGCTTTTTTCAAACCTATCTTTAGATAAACTGATATAGAATTATACATCTTTTAATCCAAAATCATTGACTTACTATAAATTTTAATAACATTAGTAAAAAGCATAAGCCAAATTCTTACTCCAAAATAATCTATATGTCTTTGCTTTTGTTGATTGTTGAATTTTTCTTTTCATGTAAATGATTTTTGAATGTCAAGATAAGCTTTATTTAATCTCATCTTCTTCCAAGAATAATGATGTTAAGGTACTTAAAAATTTAATCAAAATAATTTACATATTCTGCTGGAATATTGCTATTGTGTAAACTGAAATAACTTTCACCAAGTTTTCCACCTTCATAATTGTGTCTCTTTTTTTATCATATTGCTTAATTACATATAATCATATTTGGTTGACAGTCTTATGCACTAAATGAGCTGTCCACTATTGATTGATGTCCTGATTTAAGCTGAATTGCAAGTGCCTGAGTAGTTTGACACAATTTAACAAACCTGAAAATTGTGCTTTGTAAATAATCATAAATTATTAAAACTTTCAAACATTTAAGACCCTAATAAAATCAACCATCAGTTAAATGAAGGGAAAAGGTTTGTAGTATACTGAAAGTGCATCTAGATTATTTAAAATGGAGAGAAAACATCTATATTTGCAGAAGAATATCCTTTAATTAACATTCATTGTCTTGTACTGTATGTCATTTCCTTAAATAGGGCTGCTTTTTGCATTATATGATAAATATTCATTAATTTTATCAATTACATTAAATACTTTATATTTACAAATTCTAAAACATCATGGACTTTCCTATGTCATAGTGTCATAGGAAATCCCAGACAGAAGTCTGTAATTAAAAATAATAATTTACTTCTGAGGGTAAAATCTTGCAGAATTTTAGACTTAGTGTACTTATAAATGTTGATAAAAACTCATTTTTATTTTTGAGGTTGACCTGTGCAGCAAAAAACTAGAACGAGCTGAGCAGTTGATTGGAGGCCTTGGAGGTGAGAAAACTAGATGGAGCCACACAGCTCTGGACCTAGGGCAGCTGTACATCAACTTGACCGGGGATATCCTCATTTCCTCAGGAGTAGTTGCTTACCTCGGAGCCTTCACATCTACCTATAGACAGGTAGGGGATGCTATTCCATCTCTTCCTGACCCTCTGCCCATCACAGCCAATATTACCAATATTTGGGGTTTTGTTTCGCTTTGGTTTCAGTTTTTTTATAAGTACAAGGAGGAAGATATTTTTAAGTAATTTCTACTTACGGATTTTAGTTATTCTATAAATTAGCTGCTAGCCAAGTGATGCCATGTAATATACTCTTCAAAAATCTAATTGTTTTAAAAACAAAAATATCTACTTTAAAATGTAATGCAAAAATGGGGAGTCTCTGAACCTATTCTAGTGTGGGGCATCCTGATTAAAAATAAATTAAAAAAAAATAAAGTAATGGGAAGATTGTAGATTCTACTGATAAAATCTCAGTTCCTAAGCAAGTATTGTAAAAAAGGTGTGAGGACTGTGTGTGTGTGTGTGTGTGTGTGTGTATGTGTGTGCGTGTGTGTGTGTGTGTGTACACTTCACAACTGTCTCCTATCAGTCTCCATAGTAAGCCATTTCAAAATCATTTCAGAGAATGAAACTTCGGGGGAGGAAAAGGTGAGCCTGCCTAAAACCCTGTTAATAAGTGGCTTTGTTCCTTGGAAAACAAACCCCATGTTCCTTGCTTTGCTTCCCATTTCTCTGACTGATTCTGCCTCTTTCTCCTCCCTGGCCCAACACCTAACCCTAGGAGTTAATCCTAATTATTCTTCCTGTTTTTGTCTTCTGTTTCTTAGTTTTTTACAGAATGAGAGACCCAGCATACTCTTCAGCTCTTTTTAGAAAAATGGAACTGGAATCCAACCTGGGTCATGGCCCTATCAAAGCAGGCAGAGAGATTTAGAAAAGATAACTAAAAGAAAAACAGGGTGGGATGATAATGAAAATAAAAGAAGAGGGGGAATTCAGAACATTTGGCAGTAGTTTTTGGTGTCAAGCGAGAAAGAACACGTGTTAAATCCCCTTTGTGGAGGGCTTTATCCTATCACTGAGCATTGGCTTGCACGTGGTCTCAGTTGAGCCTCACTTAATTTCAGAACTGTCTCCTAAGGAGGGTTGACTCTTGGTGCCACTGTTATGCTTTAATCGGTGTTATTGTTTTTAACTAAATGTTTGAAATCCTCACCTACAGAGTTCCTCTGTCTTTAGCATTCTGTGGTTACCTGCATCCTAATTTAGCCCTCTTCCTACTCTTTTACATTGACACTTTGAACAATAAAAGAAGTAGCTTCAGCCACCCTTACCTTTCCCAGCTGTTTCAGAGCACACCCCTAGGTGTCTGCACTGGCTCCTGTCTAGCATTCCAGAGCTAAGCAGAAAGTGTATTAGCACTACCCAGTGCACTAGCAAAATCCACTGTACCCAATGCTTGAAGAGCTACATGTGCCATCCCTCCCAGGCCGTCTCTGACAGACTTGCTCCAAGGAACTGCATCTTTTGACTTTGCCATCACCTGGCTACTATCCAGATGGGGGGCTGCTAGTTAGACCATCACACAAATGCTTCAAGGGTGCCTTGAGCACTTGAACGGAGACCTTGGAAATTTACTGATAGACACAAAGCCACATTCAACTTAGACACAAGACTTGGCAAAGCTCAGACTTCCTCTGTGAACTCATTCACTATCCAAACACTCGATTCAAGCAGTCACTTCATCCCATGCCACCTCATCTCTGTGAAGGCAATCTTCTTTCTTCCTTGCTTCACTGGATCAACCTAAGTTTTTGCTTTCCTTACCCAGTCTCTCATGTCACCGTTCCTTCCTGTGGATTAATTCTCAAAGTCCTACCTTGTCATCTTTACTTTTTATTTGTTGCTCTCAGGTCAAGACAGCTAGCAGTTTATTTCCCATCAAAACTGTCTCATTCAATTCTTAGCATAAGGTTTAGAAGGCAACATCAGGGCTCTGCCCAGAGCCCCTCCTGGCTTCTGTGTGCTTTCACACCCAACAACTATCACCTGTGGCTCTTTCTGTCAGACTTCCCTTGGGTTCTTAGAACCCACTTTACCCAATGTTTGGAGAGCGAGAAGTGACTGGGAATGTACTTGCTTCTTCAGCAACCCTTCATGAATCATTGAAGGGAGCATGGGAGTCTCTCTCCCTTCCCTCTGGTTGGGACAGCTCCAAGGAATAGCTTACACTACAGAGGTTTCCTGTGGTGTCTAACTGAGGCCACCTGCTTGCAGAACTTAGGCTGCTCCCTCACCCTTGGTTGGCTCCTACACCTCCTTGTCCTGCTTCCCTTCACAGCATGTCACGTCACATGAATCTTATCCCAGAGTCTGCTTCAGGGAACCCAAGCTAAGAGGCTTTACAACATTTGGTCCTTTTCTGACGTCAAAAGGTTTCAAGTCTCTGAATATCAAGGGCCCTCAATAAATAACTGCATTTCCCCTCCAACCTTGAATCTGAGTAGTTGTCAAGTATTTATCAACTCTTTTGTAGTTCCTGGCACTTTTCATAAATAAAACATAGAAAACTTCAATTCCCCCAGAATAACTGGGCCCATAGCACTCAACTGCAATGCTTGTGTCAACTTCCAAAACAGAATCCTACAGTGCTACTAAGAACATGTGAGCCCTAGATTTGAATTAATTTGAACCTTCTAATTGACCTTTTCTGTGCCAATAACCAAAGTCAAAACTGTTTTAATGGTCTTGGGTATTTTCACCGAGATGACACTCTTAATAGCCAGTTCTACCATCTCTCCCTCTCTCTCTCTCCTTTATTTTTCATAACCATATGCCAGCAAATCCATCATCTATCTCATCACCTGATTACCAGCCAAGACCATTGGCTTGAATTTTGAGATGCTTGTTCAGAATCCTCCATGCTCATTTTGGTTATTCTCTGATATTATGTGCTTATAGACATGTAATTAGGCTTCTTAAATTGCTAGCCCAGAGTTCATCTGTGGTAACGTACTAAACCTGTCAGCTGTAAACAGAGCATTCTGCAGAAACTATTGCTTCTATTTTCTATACTTCTTCGCTGCGTTGTGGGCTAGCATGCCTGCTCCAGCATCAAGCTAAATCCAAGAAAGCTTGCAAACATCTCCAAAATGGCTGTAGGCCAACCTACAGCATGAAAACAAATAGAACAAAACATTCCAGTAGTGCTAGGTGAGGTGGCTCACACCTATAATCCCAGCACTTTGGGAGGCTGAGGTGGGCAGATTGCTTGAGCTCAGGAGTTTGAGACCAACCTGGGCAACATAGTAAAACCCATTCTCGCCGGGCGCGGTGGCTCAAGCCTGTAATCCCAGCACTTTGGGAGGCCGAGGTGGGTGGATCACGAGGTCAAGAGATCGAGACCATACTGGTCAACACGGTGAAACCCCGTCTCTACTAAAAATACAAAACATTAGCTGGGCATGGTGGCGCGTGCCTGTAATCCCAGCTACTCAGGAGGTTGAGGCAGTAGAATTGCCTGAACCCGGGAGGTGGAGGTTGCGGTGAGCCGAGATCGTGCCATTGCACTCCAGCCTGGGTAACAGAGGGAAACTCCGTCTCAAAAAAAAAAAAAAAAAACCCTTCTCTAAAAAAAATACCAAAAAAAAAAAAGCTGGGCATGGTGATATGTGCCCGTAGTCCCAGTACTACTTAGAGGCTGAGGTGAGAGGATTGCTTCAGTCCAGGAGACAGAGGTTGCAGTGAGCCAAGATCATGCCACTGCACTCCAGCCTGGTGGCAGAGTGAGACTCCATCTCAACAAAAACCATTAAATTTAAAAAATATAATAAAACATGCCAGAAGCAACTGTCTGCAGAACTCAAATTGGAAATGCTATCTGTCCCTCCTCCCTGCATAGCGATACCATCTGTTCCTCAGCAACCAAATAAAACAGCCAGATTATATTTATTAAGTACTTATGATAGGCAGAATTTGGGGCCCTATGATCTTCACCTCTGAGTGTTATACCTGCAACTATGCCATGTCACATGGCAAAGGGACTTAGCAGATGGAATTATGGTTGCTAGTCAGCTGAGCTTAAAGTAGGAAGGTCATCTTTGGCTATCTTGGACTTCACTATAAGACAAGCCTGAAATGTCTTTTTTGAGCAACAGTAAGGAATTACCCAGAGAAAGATGGCGCCATGTCAAAAGGACACAAAATTTAGCATAAGGGTATTCCCACTGGCCAAATTTTGGACAATTTCAGCATCACAATAAATAGTGGCAGTAACATTATATAATTCATTAGATAAAATGTGAAAAAGATGAATCTATGCTGACATAAATTAATAATGAAAAAATGGAATGTTTGACAAAAAACAGGACGTTTTCATGGTTTCAAAGTTATCTCCCTGCAGAATCTTATTACCTGCAAAGGGAATGGGGAAAAGAGCAATTTAACAGTTGGGAGGCTATAATATAGTATTTCACAAGTGCTGTCTTAACCATTTTAAATAATAGCTAAAAACTTGGAATTCTTTCTTGTGGGCAGTTCGCTAAGCCCTCACCCCAACCATTTTCTTTATTCCTTTATTTTCTATGCTCCTGGGTTACAATAGCTAGCTAGCTTCCAGAGGCCCCCAGATACCAGAGACAGCCCCTTCTTCCTTGCACCCACAGAATGATTCAGAATACCCAATCCCCAGGAAACCTATGAAACCCAGCTAATTCCATCCCATTTACCACTATGAACTGCCTTCCGCAGCCCTGGCTTGCTGCTACTCTGTCTCCTGACAATACCCCATGTGGCCCTATGTACGACCTTCTCTCATTTGGAGCTGTAACAACAGAGTTCTGCCTTTCATTTATCTGAGTGTCTTTGCATTGCATCCCACCATCTGAAGAATCTATAATCACACATAAGCTCATATAATTATGAGACAGAAGCCTGGCAGACAACACTTTAATCAAGTGATAAAAATTAGTGTAATCAGTAAATGAACAATTTGAAATTGTGTGCCATCTGATGGATGCAATGAGAAGAGCACATGATTTCTGTGATATTCCTGCCAAAGATGCATAACCTGAGATGAATCATGATGGAACATCATACAGAGCCAGTTGTGGGGCATTCTATAGAATATTAACGGGCTTATCAAGGTCATGAATGTCATCAATTCCCCCAAAACCATGATGGCCTTTCTTGTGCAAACCTCAAGGAATGTTGGCCCAGCCTACTTAGCAAGAGCCTGAGGGAGATGGCAGTGCCCAGCACGCCCTCTCAGCCAGTGCCATCTATGAGCACCCAACACCCTCATCAACCCAGAGGCTGGTACCAGCATCATACATATCCACCTTCCTTTTGCCTTCTTCTGTTTTCTCTCCAGTTATGTCATTCCCTATTTCTGAAATATTTGATCTGTAAACTCAACTTGGACGTTGACTTTTGACTTTCTGAATAGGAACCTTGGCTTATACCCCCCTGGTTCCTGCATATCCTGCAGACTGTCCCCCAGGTGGAGTCTCACAAACTGCAGTGTGTGCCCTGATCCTTGTTGGCACTGAAATGCCCTGCCATGGCCCCTCACAGAGCATGTGAGCCAGAAGTAAATGTTTTCCATCTCTCCTACTGGTTCAAAATGGATTTACTTTTCTATCATTGTATGTGCTAGATATTTGTAACATAAAGAAAATACTTAGAAAAACGTGGTGGTCCTAACGACTTTGTAAAGTGATGCTTTATTGTTCTTTTTTTTTTTTTACTCTAAGGTTCAGGGGTACACATGCAGGTATTTTACATAAGTAAATTGTGTGTCACCAAAGTTTGGTATACAGATTATGTTATCACCCAGGTAATAAGCTTAGTATCTGGTAGGTAGTTTTTCAGTCTTCACCCTCTTCCCACCCTCCATCCTCAAGTAGGCCCCAGTGTCTATTGCTCCCTTTGTGTCCATGTGTTCTCATCATTTAGCTCCCACTTATAAGTGAGAACATAGAGTATTTGGTTTTATTTTCCTGCATTAGTTTGCTTAGGTTAATGCTCTCCAATTACACCCGTGTTGGTGCAGAGGACATGATCTTATTCTTTTTTATGGCTGCATAGTATTCTATGGTGTATATAGACCATTTGGGTTGATTCTATGTCTTTGCTATTGTGAATAGTGCTGCAGTGAACATACACATGTATTAGTTTCTCTAGAGGGACAGAACTAATAGGATAGATACATATATAAAGGGGAGTTTATTAAGTAGTATTAACTCAAAGGATCACAAGGTCCCACAATAGGCTGTCTGCAAGCTGAGGAGCAAAGAAGCCAGTCTGAGTCCCAAAGCTGAAGAACTTGGAGTCTGATGTTCAAGGACAGGAAACCTCCAGCATGGGAGAAAGATACAGGCTGAAAGGCTAAGCCAGTGTAGCTTTTTCATGTTTTTTCTGCCTGCTTCATATACTGGCTGTGCTGGCAGCTGATTAGATGGTGCCTACCCAGATTAAGTGTGGGTCTGCCTTTCCCAGCCCACTGACTCAAATGTTAATCTCCTTTGGTAACACCCTCACAGACATACCCAGGACCAATAGTTTGCATCCTTCAGTCCCATCAAATTGACACACAGTATTAACCATCACAACGTGCATGTGTCCTTATAGTAGAACAATTTTTATTCCTTTGGGTGTATACCCAGTAGCGGGATTGTTGGGTTGAATAATAGTTTTAAGTTTTTTGAGAAATCACTACACTGCTCTGCACAATGGCTGAACTAATTTATATTCTCACTAGTAGTATATAAGCAGTCCCGTTTCTCCACAACCTCACCAGCTTCTGCTGTTTTTTCACTTTTAGCAAAAGCCATTCTTATTGGTGTGAGTTGGCATCTCATTGTGATTTTGATTTACATTTCTCTAATGATTAGTGATGTTGAGAATTTTTTCATATCCTTATGGATACGTATATGTCTCCTGTTGAGAAGTGTCTGTCTGTTCATGCCCTTTGCCTACTTTTTAATGGGGTTGTTTTTTTTTTCCTTATTAATTTAAGTTCCTTATAGATTCTAGATATAGACCTTTGTCAGATGCACAGTTTGCAAATGTTTTCTCCCCATTTTGTAGGTTGTCTCTTTACTCTTCTGATAGTTTATTTTGCTGTGCAGAAGCTCTTTAGTTTAAATTGGTCTTATTTGTCATTTTTTGGTTTTGTTGCGATTGTTTTTGGCATCCTTGCCATTAAATCTTTACCAGGACCTATGTCTAGAATGGTATTTTCTAGGTTTTCTTCTAAGGTTTTATAGTTTTAGGTTTTACATAGAAGTCTTTAATCCATCTTAAGCCGATTTTTGTATATGGTGTAATAAAGGGGTCCAATTTCAATCTTCTGCATATGGCTAGCCAGGTATCCTAGCACCATTTCTTGAATAGGGAGTCCCTTCCCCATTGCTTATTTTTGTAGACTGTGTCAAAGATCAGATGCTTGTAGGTGTACAGCTTTATTTCTCTGCTCTCTATTCTGTTCCATTGGTCTATGTGTCTGTTTTTGCACTGGCATCATGCTGTTTTGGTTATTGGAGCCTTGCAGTATAGTTCAAAGTCAGATAATGTAATGCTGCTGGCTTTGTTCCTTTTCCTTAGGATGGCTTTGTCTATTCAGACTCTTTGTTGGTTCCATATGAATTTTAGAATATTTTTTCCCAAATTCTGTGAAAAATGTCATTGTTAGTTTGATAGGAATAGCATTGAAAATGAAGCTTTAGAATAACAATTGGTAATTATTTTTTCCAGATACAAAATTCTGACTTAAGTGCTCAGTCTAGACTTTATCTCAACATTGAATATGTTGAGTACATAGCTGACCTTCTAAGTTAGAATTTTATTTGAAGTAAGAATCGGAGAAACACAAATCATTTTTGAGGTAGAGTTTCTACAGTGGTTTGTTGAATCAATGAATAAAGTATAAATGGAAGAATTACAAAACATGCTTTTGGTAACCGCCAGTCTCATTTCTTTATTTTTCTGTGTATGTTCTAAAGAACCAAACTAAGGAGTGGACAACTTTGTGCAAAGGAAGAAATATCCCCTGCTCAGATGATTATTCCCTTATGGGTACCCTGGGAGAAGCTGTGACAATTCGAACTTGGAATATTGCTGGATTACCTTCTGACTCATTTTCCATTGATAATGGGATAATCATAATGTAAGAAAAATTGTTCTCACAAATGGTGTTTATCAAATAATCAGTAGATTTATCTGTGTTCCTTCTAACAATTTTAGGTAGCAAACTTTTACAGTATTAAAAAATTACTTCACTAATTAGTGAAATTAAGTATGAATAATCACTTTCTTCTCCTATTAATAATAGTTGAGTATTAGACACATAAGTAAACAAACCAACCAGATGACTTTTACTTAATTTTTAAAAATTAATTTTTAGCAAATAGAGCAAAACCCTGCCTTAAGTAAGGGAAGTCCAAAATTTTCATTCCCATAAAATACAGGGTTTTGTTATTAGAGGTTAATGAAGTGTGCAGCAGTGCATCATTGATGGTGATTCTGCAGATGTTCCAAATTCTGTCTTAGTCTGTAGTGTGGGACTATTTTAAATTAGATGGGTATATTTCTGGGTCCTATCCTGATAGGGATTAGTAGCCATTATACCTGTAATTGCCTAATTAGTAGGGAAATCCTGTGTAGACTGGGCTAGGAGATTATTAAAGGCTTGTCTGCCTCACCCTCTCCTCAAGGTCTCACATCCCAGAAACCAAGGACTTCAGCCTATCACAGTGTGAGGACAACCTTGTTATTTCCAAGTTCACATTACCATGAGCCTTTTATCACTCAGCCAGTTTTCTTGGGGTTTTAGCATGTTAACAATAGCACAGATAACTACCTCTGTGTTACGTGACTATTTTGACTAGTTGTTAGGTTACTATGAAAAAGTAACTGACATGATGGTACTTTTTAAAGTAAAAATGGTTGTGGCATGTGAACTTTTAAAATAGAAGTAAACACTAAATGTGGAGACTATTCCTAAGTTTTATGTATGTAGTATTTATGAAAATCATTTTACAAATTAAAACTCTGGTGAACGCATTTGTTTTTCAATAAATTATTCTGATATATGGATTTCTTTAGCATTTATTTACTAAATTGTTTTATAAGAATTTGAGGTATATGCAATATGATTATAATATAAAACAAGATAAAATGTGATGAGACCACCTAGGGGAAGTTAAAGGAGTGGTTACTGTTAGAATTTGAGACAAGCTAATCCCTAAAGCTGGGCCCAACATTAAATTCAAAGTTTTCTGATAATTAAGGCAAAAAGAAAAAGCTGTATCACATAGTTCTTGTGAGTTCACAAAATAAACTGTAGATAGAGAGACCAAGGAGCTAAAGTTAAATTTAATTATTTTGTCTATTTAAGGAAAAGATTACAAAGCTTTACTTTGGGGAACTAAAATACTGGGTACTCTGATGCAATAATCTAAATTAATCCAAGAAGAAATTAGATAATCTAGATCAATGATAAATATGTGTATTAGCTGGCTGCTAAAATTAAGATTGTAGCAGATTTTTAAGTGCCTTTTACCAAGCACAGAATGGAAGCTCATTGTTGAATTACTTAACATGTGGCATGCAGACAGTTTGTGTTGATGTTTAGTGTTAGAATATACCTTACAGATTGACACAGGTGGGAGATTTCTGAAATTTTGGAAGTCTAACATTTACTTTGACTTTTGTCTAGCTGAACCAATTAACTAAAGCGTAAAAATAGTCAAATTTTTGCTGCTTTTGTTATTGTTACTGTTTTTATCTCAGAAAAGAGCTTTAGCTCTTCTCAAGCTCTTGTGAATGTAGCTGGTCATGTCCTACATATTGGTAGTTACTGAAGTGGTAGTCATTGTTTTGACTTGCAAATATTATGGTTCTTTCTAGCAGGATATCTATAACTACTTTATCCATCATCCGAGGCCAAATTGCATCTTACTTTGTAGCAAATTAATATACCCTTACATTTGAGTCTAGCATATTTCAAAAAAAATGGAACTGTTGATGCATATAAGATCCTAAACTGTTCAGTGATTATTTTTCAAGACAACACACTCACATTTTGGGAGGGATGGAGATAGCGATTGATGTTAATGATTCATAACCCCTATATCTTTACTATTCATTTGTAAAAATGTTGAAATGTTAGCAAAAAGTTATGGTAACAACTATACTAAGAAGAAAATATTAACAATTTTCATTTTTGGCTTCTTTTTCCAATATATTTTGATAATCTTATACGGAAAGCTTTCAGTAAATACGTTTAGAGTGATCACTTTGAAATATCAGCTAAGTATCTTCTTTACCTGTGCAGTGCTCGACAATGATGATATCTAATATTGAGCACTCACTGAGGACCTAATCCTGTGCTAAGTGCTTTTCACATATTATCTCAGCTAAGTGAAGATGATTATTTAGGAAAACTGGAAGAATCTATAAAATTTGGGCAAGTTAGAAAATAATTAACTTTTGGGGCGATTGACACCTAAAGGTCCCTGTCTAATTAAAATTTCAAAGGTTAGTGATAACATTAAATGTAATTATATTGTTATCTGAACATTTCCCGGGTAAAGGATTAGGATTGTTTAACATCTTGGTCATTAGATCAGACCTATATTTGATGTAACTCTGCTTTTTTAAAAAGTAAGTTTTTTCATTTCTATAGGCGAGAGACATATTAGGTTTAATTCAGCAGCAATAATAACTGAGAGGAATAACACATTACTTTGTCTGTTTTTATGAATTTATGTGTGTGTGTAAAAAGGAAAATATCAAAACTCTGAAATGTACTGCTGCTTTTTATTCAAAATCTGTGTTCCATAAGACTGCTGTGAATGTGTATTTTCACTGTTAGAAGTCTGTATTTTCAAAAAATCCACAAAAGCACCAAATAACAATCCTCTCTAGACAGTAACAAAAGAATACACACTGTCAAAACTTGGAACATTGAGTGCTATAAAAATTCAGTTTCCATTTGGGAACCACTGATTTTAAAGCCTTTGTAGATTCAAGAATGTTTGATGGAGGAAGTAAGAGAAAGGTTATGTGGAGAAAAACATTTTCTTGTTTAAAAAAAAATACAAAATAATAATGGAAAAGTAAGCAAGTAAATATAGTGCTTGTTCATTTTGAATTCAGTATTTGTATTCATCCAAAGAGTGAAGCTATTTAAATCTGTTTGTTGCATACAGTTTTCCACAATTGTTGGTATGTTTTTTTAAACGACCATTTTCTTTTCATCTACACTGAAGAATATCTCCTTTAAAATTTTATTCATCTCATATGTTAGTCTGTGGAAGCCCAAATCTTTAAAATTGGATATTAGCTGAAGTCACAAACATCCTGTCTTTGAATAGAAAAAGATGTTATGTTAAGACTATTGTCTGGGGAAAATAAGTTTGATATAGTTATTAACTAGATATGGAACAATAAAACGTCTGTTTGTGTGTAACTACACACACACACATATATAGGGAGAGAGTGTTGCAGGTGGAGGGAAGAGAAAGAGACAGTGGAGATACACAATTATTCCAGCACAATTTATTGAAAACATTATCCTTTTTAAAAAACAGATTGCCTTTACATCTTTTTTGTGTGTGTGTTTTGTTTTGTTTTGTTTTTTGGCTATTCAATGCAAAATAATCCTCTTCAGTTTTACTGAGGTGGCTGACTGCATCACGGTCGAATCCACCTCTAAACCGGAATTCAGTTGCTGACCCAGCCCCAGCCTCGCCTTTCTTGTCTGCACCAGTGCTCACAGCACTCCGTCTGTTAGTATCTCTGTCTGCTTCCACTCTTGAGTATTGCAGGCCGCTCACCCTCCAGACCTTTAGGCTGAGGCCTGCCCATCTCTGGACGGTTACAGCGTAGGGTGGCAGGCACAATTTCCGGGGCTGGATGAAGGTAATCACGGAGATACTGGATACCGTCATTGGTAAGGCACCAGTAGAAATGCCTCCAGGCCAACTGTTCCTTCACGTAGCCTCGGGACTTGAGAGACTGCAGGGCTTTCATGACATGAAGGCACGTTCTTGTCTGCCGGCTCCGGGTGCTTAGGCATGAGGACATCCTTTTCGGCCACCTTCACTTCCTCCTTAAAAAGGAGTTCATAAATGTCAATCCGGTTCTTCTTAGGCATCAACATCTCGGTGGCTATAGGGCCGGGGTCGGGGCTGGAAAGGAAGCGCCTCTACATCTTTGTTGAAAATAATTGGTTCACATACATGTGGGTTTTTTTGCTGAGTTCTCTGTTCCATTGACCTATATGTCTTGATGTAAATACCGTATTTCTTTGATTATTGAAGCATACTAAGTCTCAAAGTCAGATAGTATAGCTTTCATGTTTGCTCTTCTTTTTCAAAATTGTTTTGTCTAGTTGTTACTTCTAAATATAAATTTTAGAATCAATTTTTAAATGACCACACACGATCTTGCTGGGATTTTTATTGGTACTAATTGAATCTACAGATCAATTTGAGAAGAATTGACAACTTAGCACGTTTTCTAACATATGAACACAGTGTATTTCTTCATGTACTTAGGTGTTCTTTGATTTCTTTCATCAGTGTTTTGTTGTTAGATTTATACCCAGTATTTCTTTTTTTCTGTGTGGTACTTAAAAGATTGTGTTCAGTTGTTCATTGGGAAAGTAGTTTATTTTTAAATACTGACTTTTTACCCTGTAGCTTCATAAATTCATTTATTCTAGGACCTTTTATGCAAATTTATTGGGTTATTTTATATGTAGACAATCATGCTGTCTGCAATTAGTGACAGTTTAACTTATTACTTTCTAATCTGTATGCCTTTTATTTCTTTTTATTAGCTTATTGCACTGACAAGGGCTTCCAGTATAATGATGAATAGGGTTGATGAACTCTGACACTGTTGCCTTTTATCTAATCTTAGAGAAAATCAGTCTTTTACTATAATATATGGTATTAGCTATAAGTTTTGTAACTTCTTTGTATCATGTGAAAGAAACTCTCTTCTATTCCTAGTATTTGTTCACCTTTATCTCATGGTTATAATACCTGCTTTAAGGTTATTTTCTGGCAATTTCAAATCTATGTTTCTTTGAGAATTAGCCATATCATTGTTCTTTGTGTGTTAATTTTGGATTGTATCCTGGAAATTTTGAATATGAGACTCTGGGTCCTGCTAAAATCCTCTGGACAAGATTGATTTTTTGCTTTAGTACTCAAATGACTCAATTAAGTTTAGATCACAACTCTCAGCTTTTCTTCTGTGGGTGATGTTTCAATGTCAGTTCAGATTTGTAAGCCTTCACTATACTATTTGTATCTACTTCTCGGCATTCATTACTCAGGAGTTAAATGGAGTAGGATTTATGATATTTTTTAAAGCCTCTGATATGCTACTTTAGATGTGTTCCATGCATGCACAGCTTCAGGTCTTCCCTCTTCAGAATTTCCCCCACCCTCCACCCCACTTTCCATATCGCAGGGGCACCTTTTTGAATACATTTTTCTGGCCAAAGTGATGAAGTTCTTTCAGGGTTTTCTCTTCCCATGCTATTGCACAGTTTCGTGCCAACACTGGGAGCAAAGTGGCAAGAGAAAAGAGAAAAATACTTAGATTTCTCTCATCTTCTGTGCACAACAGGGACCTCTTTTTTTTATTTCTATCCAGAGAGACAGGTTTTTGCTCAGCGTTTTAGGTAACTGCACCACTGTTTCTTCTGTCGTAACACGGTCCTGTGAGTAGGTTTAACCTTGGGGTAGAGACAAAAGAGAATAAAGAGAGAAAAAGCAAAACATGAAACAAAACATGGATTTATGCCCACACTTTCTGGCTCACAGATGGTCCTTTTTTCAGTTCTCTATTTTGAGTTATTGCTACCTGTGCCTGCTGCACAGTTCCCCAACTAAGCCAGAAAATAGAAAAAAAAAAAAAAAAAAAACCTTGGAAAGCTCACTACCCCATTACTGATAATTCCTCAAGTTACGACTTTCCTCCCATTCACTTTTATTTACTGTTTAATTGCTTTTTGTATTTTGTTCAACATTTTTAGATGTAATCAGAGAAGAAGATAGGCTGTAAAAAGCCTAGCCCATCTTGGTTAGCATCAGAAGTCCTTTCCTCTGATTTTGAAATGCTACTTATTGGACAAGTATTTCTGTGCAGCAATAATCTCTTAAAGAATTTCAATTTGTAGAATTATTTAATTTGTATGGTGTTTGCCCATGATATGGAAACTTATTTTCATTAGAATGTCATACTTCCCATGCTCTGCTCACTTTTGAAGGGTGTGGCAGTATCTTTAGAAAATTGGCCAGGATAATGGCTTGTGTTGATTGAAACTTCTAAGAGAAGGAAAAAGAATAGTAATTTTATTGCCAACTACATTTCACACAAGACAGAAAGCTATGTGGTTGGATGTCATATGGTAATTGCAGATACTGATAAGCTCTTCTGTAACTCCACTATACCCTAGAAAATAAACTGGGTTCTTCCTGCGGTATTGCTCTTGTTCTTATCATAAAGCAAATATGTAATGAACTACATATATGACACTAAATACACAAGTGTTGGAAACAAAGATTGGTTCAACCGTTGTGTTAACACTTAAGTGTCCCTGGATATTATGAAGTTTACATGATACAAAATTATGCTTTTTACCTTTTTGTTAGGCAATTATTTCTTTAATCGTCTAGATTTTGGAGCTGTGATATTCCCAACCTCTTTCCCTATTGTACAAATGATAACAGGTAGAAACTTCGGAAGCAAAGTGACTTACCCAAGGTCACATGATTAATTAATGGGAGGGCTTAGTGAAGAACTGGAATTTCCTTATTTACAACACAGTCCTCTTGATGGGTGTCGCTGTGACATAATTAGCAAGAGCAGCAAAGATTTTCAAAAGTGTAATTTAACATTTAGAAATTGTAATTTTCCAAAAAATGTAAGAACTTGTGTTACCTTTGCAGGATGACTTCTGTAGTTGCCATTCAGATAGCCCACTCAATCTACGTCTCTGTTTTAAGAACATAGTTTCTCCTAAGTTAAAAAGGTCAAATATTACTATAAAGGGAAAACTTTTAGAAAGCCACATGTGATGTGAACGTGATTAAATAGTGTAGAAACAAATCATGGCTTGACCAGCATCATCTTTCTCCTTTTTTTCAGGAATGCAAGAAGGTGGCCTCTGATGATAGATCCTCAAGGTCAGGCTAACAAATGGATCAAGAACATGGAAAAAGCCAATAGTCTTCATGTAATTAAACTTAGTGATCCTGACTATGTCAGGACTCTGGAAAATTGCATCCAGTTTGGTACTCCTGGTATGTAGTTGAATAACAAAGATACATTGCAAAACTGTCTGGAGAGGGCACAGTTAACCCAAAACTATATAAATTGTTTCAAGCGATCGTCCCACCTTAGCCTACCAAGTAGGTGAGAGACTATAGGTGCACAGTTCTGTGCCTGGCTAATTTTGTATTTTTTGTAGAGGTGGGGTTTCGCTATGTTTCTTAGGCTGGTCTCAAACTCCTGGGCTTATGCCAAATGCCTTCCTTGGCCTCCTAAAGCACCTGGCCTAGACTCATGTTAAATGGTGACTTTGTTAACATTCTTCATTATTTAATGATAATTAATCAGATGAGAATTTTAAAGATTATAAACCTCCCAGAGGGTTAGGAGGTTTTCTTTGTCTTAAGATTCATTTGTGATGCTTCCCCTAATTTAACTGTTTTAATTTATGTCTGTTGTTTCCCATTCTTTAGTTCTCATTACATCTCTAATTCTGCATTTAAAAGAGCCACTTAATAATATGACAATAGTATGTTAACACAACACGAGTTCAGTTGTCTATGTATTCCTCTCTCGGCTTACCCTATAGAAGTGGCAGAGAGGAGAGTATAGATTTTATGTACCTGGTTATTATCTGCCACCTAAAGTAGAGAGATTACAAGCATGACAAACGATTTTTCAGTACAGCCCTTCTGCAGATGTCACATTTATCAAAACAAAAAAACACAAAACTTGTGTTTTGAGTAAATTGGGGTTATTAGTCATGCTTTGAATTCATGTAGCCCATCACATTTTGACTATTTACATGACCAAATAAAGGTAAATACTTAAGAAACTACAACTTATTTAGCTCCAGGACAGGTACAGCAAGTCTCACTTGTTATTAGACCTAACACAATATGGAAGAATCATAATAAATATTTCAGGTAGTCTTATGGACATCTTATTTGTGCATATTAAGAGGGAGTTAGTCTTCAAATATGATAGTTTTAAGTTCTGTTAGAATAAGGATGAAATGAAAACAATCCAAGTCTACCTATGAAATTTTGTGTTTATGTAATAGACACATAGACACATGCACACATGGTATTTCATTTAATTGTTGTTCTAAGCATATAGAATGTGATATAGCAGTTACATAGAAAAGGAGAACATGATCTCTACTATTAAATATTTTGCCTGTTTAAACAGTAAGATTAGATATATGTTTGTGTGTATGTGCATACATATACTGTAATAAAATTAGAAGGTGGTTGTCTATCACTAATTCTTACTGGGATCAGTGTACTTAATGGGTAGGTAACTGGTCTTGGATTCAGAGTACCTGCCTCTGTCACTCGGTCATTGCTTCAATGACCTTCCTAAGTCTCAGTTTCCCCATCTATATTTTAACCATATAGTATTAGGAAGAAATAGATTACTATATGTTGGATACTTACAGCAGTATCTATTGCTTAATTTATGTTTTTTTTTGTTGAGCATTTACTATATGATTTATGTGTATCATCTTTTAATATGACATAAGAAAGACACAAATGATGTACTCTAGGAATTCAGAGGAATCAGGGAAGACTTCTTGAAGGAATTGGCACCTTAAGTACTTTGCACCTTAAATACTTTAAGTAGGCTGGACACAGTGGCTCATGCCTAAAATCTTAGCACTTTAGGAGGCTGAGATGGGAGGATTACTTGAACCCAGGAGTTTGAAACTAACCTGGGAAACATAGTGAGACCCATCTTTACAAAACATATAAAAATTAGCTGGGCATGGTGCTATGTGCCTGTGGTCCCAGCTACTCAGGAGGCTGAGGTGGAAGAACCGCTTGAGCCCAAGAGGTCAAGGCTGCAGTGAGCTGTGATAGCCCCACTGCGCTCCAACCTGGGAAACAGAGTGAGACCCTGTGTCAAAAAAAAAAAACTCAAAATCCAAAACATTATAAAAAAAAATAAAAATCTAAAATTACTTGGGTTAACTTAAATATTCAAATAATTTCCTTGACACAGTAAAAGACAATTAAATGATAATTGAGCATCTACCATATGCTTCACATTCTGGAGATTTCTGTGATGTCAGTCACAAATCTCGATGTTAGAATTTCATAATTTTAGACACAAAAGGGCCATAGAGATGATCAATTTAGTTTTCCAAAGTATGGGTCACAATCATGGTAGAGATAACCAATTTAGTGGGTCATGACCAGTATTTTGTTAATAAGATGCAGTAAGAAGGAATAGAACGTAGTAGGCTGCAAAGCGTAGTATAAAGGCAAGTATTATTTCATGAAATTTTAAAATTTTATATGCATATTTATGTCCTTAGTCAATGTTTAAAATGTATTTTCTACTTTGAGTTGTGACCAGAAACGTTTGAAATCCAGTAGTAATTCCAGCCACTTCGTTTTATTAACAAGGTAAGTGACATATTAGAGAATGTTAATTAAATGGCTTAACCAAGGTAGTTAACTGCCTCTTAACTATATTGGTCCCAATAAGGGTGAGTGATGGATGTCCCCTTTCTATACATATGTGTGTGTTTATGACTGTGGTATTAAGCAAAATATTTGATAGTAGAAATCATGATCATGTTCCCCCTTTTTATGTAACTCCTGTATCAACATACTATATGCTAATTAATCCAGTTAAGAGGAGTGCTGAAACTAGTCCCTAAGTCTTCTGCCTTTGGTGCTTACTGTGTCACACAAGCAAGATTTTCCTTCAGTTGATATAACCTACTTTTTGGAATAAAATACTTTTTAAATGCTAATGATTATTTACAATGCTTTCTAACATTAGTCCTCAGAGAAAAGTGAGAAGTTTTAATCTCTTAATGGAAGGAGAGATAGATGGCAGATTTTAAAGCTATTTCTATATTTAACCATCAAGTAAAAGAATCTGTTACTGTTACAGATTTATGACACAAGTGGTTAAAGAATCTTCTATTTAAGGAGTTAGCTTTAGATACTGGCCTCTTCAGGGACAGTGGCTTTTGATCTATTGTCCCTTATAGGCAGCCTGGGTTGAGCTGGCAGAAGTTTTTGCCTGCTTCAGCCACCAGCCTCTACTTCAACAGAGCAGGTCTCACTTTTCTTTTTTATATTGCATCTTATGATAAGATCCTCTTTGAAAAAAAGTATTCTGCTGCTTAAAAAAATTGTTAAAGCCAATGTTCTAGAAAATAAAGGTACATCTGTATTAGCTATATCAATGGATAAGGTGTGCATAGAATACTAATCATACAAATATTGCTGATAAATCAATGTATAGAGAAGATATTTTAATGACTTTCCATTGAATCTGTAAAAAAAAAAAAA